AATTGTAATGACTATTTAATACTTACGCGAAGGCGCTTTCATTCATTTCCGGTGAAAATAACAGGTAAAATGGTACACAAAACGCACCTCAGTTGGATGTTATAGTGCTCTTTAAAGTACTGCTCAACTGTTAACTGCTTGCCATCAGCAGTTTCAAACCTGAAGGATATCTTATGCAGTGATTCCTTTCGGTTATCCCAGCGCTAACGTAGTTGTAGGGGGACACAACAGCACGCTTTCATGTCCCTTGCCCCGACCCAGGTCTTTGTTTAGAAAGCGTGCATACATTTCGGCAGCGTGCTCAGAGATTTGGGGAGTGTAGGTTTCATCCTAGCGTTTTGAGCGCCCGCCAGCGTTTTAAGTTACAACGACCCCAACTTGTACGTGCATGCAATGAAGAAAACGCATGTTTGTACGAATTTCCACTCGTCGTTATCATAAAGATATCAGCTCTTTTATCTTATCACCTCACTCTCACCATTCGGAATGGAGAGAAAAGCATAGTGGGTACTAGGTGGTAGCTAGCAGCCAGTGGAATCGGAACGGGTCCAAGGGGTGCCCACGGCCAAAGTGGTCAGCTTTCAGCGTAGTTCCTACCAATTTTCACTTTTGAAGGTAGCACAGCCTCCAGAATCGCCCTGCGGATCATTTGACGCAGCTGAGGGGTCATAGCTTCATTTTATCGCGGAAGTGCCTTTAAAACGATGATAGGCATTCAAAACGCTGCCGCAACGTATGAACGCGCTCTTAGACAGCAGGTGAGCCGCTAAAGGAATCTCGCAGAGTGGACATATGTCCATCAACTCTAATGACCTCCGTTCAGGAACATGGAGGAAGGAACACAGAAATGCTGCCGTGTGTCTCTCTCCCCTCCACTACCTCAACATCGAATCCCTTTGCATGTGGCAAGGCACCCAAACACAACTAACTTCAATACGTTGGCAGCATCCGCAAGATTTCCAATCGGAAAAGTCTTTTTCTTTCCATACGTCGTTCTGACATACAGACCTTAAACACTTCTTTATACATTCCAACCAATTGTGGACATCTGTCAACCATTGTCGCGCGTGACGTTTAGTTGAGCTTTTGAGAAACGAGAATGAAGAGAGAAGAAGAACGGGTGGAGAAGAATGCTCGGGATGCTCGGAGGATGACAGATATCTTGAAGCCAACGTCACCATCAAGACACACCTTTGATTTGCTT